TTAAAGTCCTTTCCAACATTAACCATTCTATGATTTATTTTCTTCACTCTAGGTCCCTGCCCAAGACAAAAATCAACTTTCAGTAAAGCTGTAACACAAATGTCACGCTCTAGTTTTGCCTGCTACTACCCTATTGCAGATTATGGTAAGGCATGACAGCATCTGTCAATTTTTAAACATTGGTTTTTTTTTATAAAAATAAATTTCTAGTTTTGTATGCCCCTCTCCTGAAATGGTGAGGTTTCTGTATTTGGCCTAGAAGCTGAGTTGATGAAACAAAGCTGTGTGCTATCACAGTCATCAAGGGGCTCAAAGGGAAAACTAAAAGCTGTGGAAAGATGCAGTGGGATGCTGGGGGATGAGCAGCATCATGTTACATGGTTTAGAAAAGACCTGTGGTGTGAGCAACACCATCCCCTACATCCTTAACATTGCAGGATGGAGATAAAGAGACTTGGCATGGTGTGCCACAGTTCAGTGACTCCTTCTGCAGAGCCAGATAAATATTTTCTTTTTTGTTAATTTATATTTTTGGCCTTTTCTTTGGCTGGAAAGTTGGAAAAGCTACTGAAGGAAAACTGGTTCATCAGCTTCAGTAAGTTAGATGCTGACAGAGGACAGGAAAAAATATGAAAACTCAATCAATCATATAGGTGCTTCTTTAAAAAAAATAATATACACAAAAGGAATACAAATCTCAAGGTTGATGATTTTCTGACTGATGACCTGACTTTCTAAAAGCATACTAGGTATTCAGGATTACTGTCCTGTTGTCTTTCATAACCCCATGATTTGTAAATAGATGGTGCACAGGGGTCTGTAGAGACATCTGGTAAAAGTATACTTATTTTTCAGTTTTTGGATGCAATTTCATGTTTCCATCTGGCCTCACACAGTTGTTGTCTGTTGCAGTGTACGAGGTGGAACTCCTCAATAGTACTCAGAAGAATGTTTTTAATTACTATGAGGCCAAAATCCACCGAATCCTTAAAGCCAGTAAGTATCAAAAAGTTTGGCTCCTTTCATTTACCTGTAGGAAAATTAGGTTGATTTAATGTTAGCCAGTACAAGCCATGCAGATCCCTTCTGTTGCTGTAGGAAGTAGGATCAGATATGCTTCTGTACTAGGCTTGCAAGGATTGCTTCCTTGCAAGGATTGTTTGGTACAGCTACCTCCCTCCTCCTTTCAGCTCTGTAGGTTGTTTCAGCTCACATTGTGCAGCAATCTCAGAGCACAACAGCTTCAGTCTTTTCAGATGAAACTAAACCAGAAGACACATTCCAGCTGCATTTAGTCCATGGCTCCAAACTGGAGGTAGTCTAAGATAAACCCTCCCAAAACATCTATAGTGTGGCTATTAGGTCTTCGGTGTCAGCCAATTCACCTTATGAGCTGCTGTTATTGATTCTAATTTTTTTCTATTGTAGAAATGTCCACTGACCTCTGTTTTGATAATAGATGAAGATCTGAAGTGATTGTTACCCAATAAATTGTTAATCACTTGCAATCCTAGCAGAACAGGCAGAATTGTCCTCAATGACTTGCCTGAAGTCAGTGAACACAGGAAAACTTCTAGAACTTCAGTTTAATAGATGTGAAAACAACAAAGAAGCCTCTTCATTGTTTTTAGGTGCAGTGTAAAGCTTTGCAATGCTCTCAATGTCCTTTTGCAAGCCTGCCATTCCAGCTGTCCCCATGTGAACTTTATCAGCAGCATCAGCGAACACTGATACTCCTCAAAGTAATTTCTGGAGAGTCTGTCATCTCAGACTTCAGCTGCTGTGGTATCACATGGTTGTCAGGTTTGAGTTTGGTACCCAGAGATTGCCTTTAAAAAGCAGCTTCAAAGATTCTGAAAATTTCCTGGACTGGAGCAGAATAATTAAACCACTCCCTTGACCTTTGCCTAGGGCACGGGCAGTGTCACCAAGTACTTTATGGCACACAATTTGTGATCTGTGCCCAGTGTTTGGCTCCTGTCTGAAAACGAGGTCCATACCTCATGAGTTCAGAGACAGCATCTGTTCCTCTAGGGACTTTCCATATGTAGAGAAATTATAATATACCTAATGATCAAAACACTGGCTATGTGAGATTAGAGTACCAGGATGGAAAGTTTCATTAATACCTCCAGAAAACCTTCAGGATCTAAAGGATTTGGAGTTCTGAGCCCCAGTGCAATTGAACTCCTAGGCAAGCACTGGAAACATTTTGTTTCTTGGCAGCTGAGAGAAATATACTTTGATTGTGAAGTTAAAGGGAAGAGATGACTTCTCCCATTCCTACCTCCTCTTTATTTTATCCCTTAAAATCCCCTTTGGTTTGTGCTGTATGATGCAGTTTATCAGCATCAAGAGGCTCTCAACAGGCTTGGGAAAAGCTGGGAAGAGACATGAAGCCACGAGGCATGAAGAAAAAGCAAGGCATTTCACCCAGATAACCTCATGACTAACTAGAGTTGTTACCTTTTGTTCTTTTCTGCACCTGTTTTCAGTGAGGTTGGTCTCTGTTGCCATCACCAAGGGTAGATGAGAATTAGTAGGGTAAATTCTCATTGTCTGGACCCCTGGCATTATTTCAGTACCAATCCTTGCAAAGAAAAGGTTGGTTCAGAAGACAGATGGAAACACTTACTTGTGTAAGACAAAGACAATTTTGCAGATGTGCACTCCTCAGACTACTTTGATTATTAACAGAATTAGTGGGCAGTGCGGTGCCTGGATGAGTAATCTTCTGGGCCAGAATCCAGACCAAGATCTTCTAAGTTATTTTATGTAAAGTTCAGGTCAGATGCACTAAGAAGAGTGAGTTTTTAATAGTGTCTGCTTCACTGTTGAGCCTCAAGATGTTTGAGTTAAGTTTGCTAGCTTTTAAGACCATTATGAGCCTAAGCAATGTGAAATATAAGAGCATGTTTCCCTTGCCTTTTTCTTTAATCTCTGAAATTTAAACACACTCCATAGGGCTTGAAAGTTCTTTATAGCAAAACAGCTCCTTCAGTAACTACTGAGGAGGTTCAGACAGCCAGCTAAGACAGAAATGGCTTACTTTGTCTCAGATAATGTTAAGGAAAGTATATCCTACCATAGCATGGCCATTTATTCCCATGCCAAGCCACAGCTCACTAGAGAAATATTACCTTTGCTTAGCAGTGAAGTAAATGATCACAGGGGGTTGTGTCCTATGGGCTACGGTTCTATATAAGAAAAGCTGATGAGGTTTTCTCTTATTGTGCCACAGCTAGCGATGAAAGCATCCAAGTGGGTGTCCACCGACAGCTCCTAACACGCTCTGCATGCAACTTAAACATGGTTGCTGGCAAACGGTACCTCATCATGGGGAGAGATGGGCAAACTGTTGATTTCAACAACAAGTGAGTGCAATGATTTCCGAGCAGCAGCTGTCATGGACCCTGAATCCAGAGGATATTCAGCCTCTTAAAATACCTCCAGAAAGCAAAGGGAGGACCAAACTCTTAGGGACCAATTCTGCTGGATTTAGTACTATGCAAAGAGGCAAAAGGGTAGCTGTGGGGAACAGCTGAGACACCCATACCTATCAGCTTAGGGATCTGTGCACAGCCTCATTCCCACATTTCTCAGCCATTCCCACATTTCTCAGAATCAAAATCTGTCTCTGAGTCCACTGGGTTAAAAACTCACAGCTAGAAAAGTAGGATGGGAAATGCTCTATAGTTCTATCTACTGCAGATGCCTCAGACAACTCCTATGCTTGCAAAAGAGATGGGTGGGACCATGGCTAAGAGCAACTCTCAGTTTCTGTTATATCATCCATGCAAATAGCATATTCTTCTTATTTCTCATTGTTACACTTTAATGAGAAAAGAGAATTGATTTGAGGAGGGACTTAGCCTGACACTATCAAATATTCTGTGAGGAAGACATCTTAAATGTTTCATTTTCCTGTGTGGAAATGGAGAAAAAGTAGTGCCTCTGAAAATTTCTAGGAGGGAGACCTTCTCAGTCAAATTATGACTGCCACTTCCTAAAACCTTAAAAAGTCCCTCTCCCCATCTCTGTACAACAGCGAGTGCTTAAATCAGGGGTCTGCTTCAACAGAAGCCTGTTAAAAACTGAAGTCTCACAAAGACTTGTAGCTTCCAAAATCTTCTCCAACCCAGTCATAAAATGCCAGAAATGGTTATCACCACAGAAAATTAGGAAACATCTTGGAATAGTCTGTTGAAACTAAGCCCCCCTTCACTGTGTTTCACTGGTGTGCACTGGGGCTTTAGTGTTACTCCAGAAAACTAATAGAAACTTAGCCCAAGCTTACCTGGTGTCACCCAAAACACACATAGTTTTTTCAGTTAGTTAGGCCCAGTGTAGCACTGACACTTTGCTAACTTTATTCAAAGCACAGTTAACCTGCTGGTGAAACTTGGTTTCAGAAAAGTTTCTTGGCTAGTATAACTCCTCCTGCTCTCAGAGATGCTTAAGTGGAGGGATACAGCATCATGGGGTGTACGCTTTCCCATTGCTCCACATCCATAGTCATGACTCACCTCTTTACCTGTCCCATTTGCACTCAGGGTGCAGTACCTCCTTGATTCACAAACCTGGGTAGAGAAAATTCCAGAAGACAGTGAGTGCCGCACCACCTTGCACCGGCAAGCCTGTGCTGACCTGCATGACTTCATGGACACGTCAGAAAATCTGTGCTCCTTCTGAACCATTGCTCTGCTTCCCACATCCTGTCTGTGTGACTGCGATGTGGCTCCTTCCAGAATTTTTCTTGCTGTTTCTGTTTTGCTGATATTTCTTGTAGACATAGGTGGGGGGGAGAAGTGTAATAATAAAAGATTGCAGTTACTCTAATACTGATTGTGGGTTTTGTCCTTGATACTGGTGAAGAGAGAGCAGGAATTTCTGTCTCTCTGATCCATTATACAACAGCCCAATCATCCTGCAGGGGATGAAACAAAAAAATCATTGTGCTTGCAGAGCTTATTAATTCCTGCAGTGACTGTCACCTGCCGTGGATCTCACCTTAGCTCTTGTCTCTCAAGCAGCCTCTGCTTTGCCCACCATGGCCCTCTGCATGGCCACAGGAATCCTGACATCTTTGATCTCCACACGAGCCACTTTGATTCCCCACTGCTTTGTAGCATTGTTGAGGATAACCTTGGGACAAACACACAACCCATTACAAAAGGCACAGTGAGGGCAGAGAGAAAACCATGCCATGTACCCTGCTTCTAGGACAGAAGGAAATGCAGCATGCAAACCTGCATAAAAGAAAGATGGAGCCTTACCATCCAATGGGTGTAAGTACAGTGGGTACCACAACCTATGAAACTCCTGCTGATCAACTCCTGTGTGGCTTCTCTACTGCCTCCTAAATTATGATCCCCATCCTTTCTTTAGGTGGGTGTTGATCAGACTTCTCCCTTTTGCAAAGTAATTCTATGGTGACTTCCTAAACTAGCACAACGCAGTGAAAGCACATAACAGCACACTATGAGTGAGAGACACAGCACGGCCCTGTAGCACTGGCATGCTCTTCTGTGCTCAGGCTGCTATGCACTACTGCACTCATGTCACCACCATGACCCTGGCTCTGCCCACTGCTGCTCTCCTGGCTGGAGAGGTGTACAGTCTCTCTTTGATTTTACTATGCCTCATCTCTGACTGAAAAAGAGTAAAGCAGGTGTTGGATTTCTCTGCTTCCTCCCTGGCTGCCAAATAAAGTAGCAAAACAGATGGCATTTTAAAGCATAAGCCAACTCAGTTCTGTACTGTATGTTGCTATGACAGGAGATAAAGCCTTGTCTTGATTAAACCTCAATCAAAGGTCCGATCAAGACACTTTCTCACAAGCAGCAGACCTTCTCACCACTTACAGCAGCCCCTGTGCAAAGGCTAAACTAACTTATTCAAGTCACTGGATAATTGCAGAATTTTTGTTGCTTTTTGATAGGAAATAACTCTTCTCCAAGAATATGGGGAAATACCTTTAGAATAATTCTTTCTGAGTCTAGACAAGCAGATGTATAACTGAAAGAAACATAATGGAATATTTTGTTATCATTGTTGAAAAGAAAGAGAAATTAGTTCTGATTTGCTACTCCCCAGAACACATCTCCATGCTTGTCAGTGGATTCTGAGAGCTGGATTTACCTGGGTACTGCGTGCAATTTCCTCACAGCCTGCCAGGAGCTGAGCCAAGGTCTGTGTACCCAGAACGTTTCTCAGGGTTGCCTGTGCCAAGAGGAAGGTAGCTGAATGGACATCAGTGATGTTAGCAACAGCTCTGACAGCACTGGATCCTGTAGTACAGCATGCCATCAACTTGGGTAGTAACAGCATCTTTTGTGAGAATCTGCATTTGACAGATGTGCAGAATTAGAGAAGAATCCAGTGACACATCTTTTGCCAAGGAAGGGAAATGTTATTTTTTCCCCCTAGTGAAAACAAACCCTGATAATGCAAGGAAACCAATAATTTCTTTTTGTTTCTTTGCCATTCTCCCCTAGAAATAACTTTAAGGAAGCTATCCAGCATCACCAAAGTACATACCCTTCCAATAACTCTTCCAATAGTGAGTAAATCTCATAACTTGAATCATTTTCTCCTGCAATGATGGTTATATGATCATAGTTATACTCCTTGTTATACTCATAGTTATACTTTCTTGTAGAAAGGGCCATTCATGATTTTATTATACATTACATACAGTTTGGAAAATCTGTGCTATTTCCTCTAAACAAAGTATTTCCAAGAAACTCCAGCAAATTAAAGCAAAAATTAAAAGCAAAGTACAAGAAATTTTGCACTTTGAAATTTGCAACAAAGAAATTTGAAAAATATTTAATCATTCACAAAGGAGTCGTGTCACCTTTTGCCAGACAAGTACCCAGTGCTTCAGCAGCCAGTTTGCCTCAGCAGAGCTCTCATGGTGCTCTACTATCTGTTCCCTCCTTGACATGTTTTGCCTTCAAGAAGTTTTGTAAGCAGTTTGAAAGTCAGAAAATACAGCAAATAAGATAAATTCTGTGGTAGTTTACAGGTGTACAACTATAAAACACCTGCATTACTTTTGATCATGCCATGAATCACCTCTGACTTTTATGTCTGTCTTAGATGGCTGCTAGACAATAGTTACCTCTTGTGGAGGAATGTTACAGGTAACCGTTCTAAGATCAACCTTGACAAACATCTGTACATGGAAGTATGAGGATTATACCCGAAAACCAAAAATAATTACATGAAATGCAGATATCTGCAAATAATGTTAATTTATTGGAGCTTAATGACCTAGGGCCCTGGACTGGAAATGGGGAGAGTGCAGCTCCGGTCTCAAATCTGCCACCAGACTTTTGACAAAAATTCTTTCCACACCTTTGTTTGGTTTCCCCTTTATAAATCATAAGCCGTATGTGCCTCAAGGGAAGATATACCTCAGGCCCAGATTCCTGCACCGCCTGTAGGCTGCAACATGAGGAACATTGTCCCAGGTTCTGACACATCCTGTGAAGGAGTCTCCACTCTCCCTCCACTGGAGAGGGAGGCTTGATATTGCTATTCTTCTCATCTCAGCACTTTGACTAGGTGCCCAGAGCCATCGAGAAGAGTTCTGCACCTGCCCTAGCTGCCCTTTGGACCACATGGTTGTTATTCAAGAAGAAAGACAGGACCTGAAAAGGACTTTTGCACCTTATTTCAGCTTCCAGTTTGCCCCGTTTCATTGCAGAAAGGTCGTAACTACACCAACACAAATACTTCATGTTGCTGGGTTTGGTTTGTATTTGTGATATATAACCCGATCCTAAGTGACTGCACCAAACTCTTTATAGATGCAGAGTGTCCCTTTCCTGAGACATTTACCATTTTCAAAGCAGAAGACAGCTAAATTGCTGGCAGCAGCAAGCAGTGTTGGAAGTGAGGCACATGTAAAGTAAGCGTCCCAGTCACTCAAAATAGTCCTTAGCAGGCCTGAAGACTGCATATAACCCTCTCTGGTCCCCCATCAGTGTCCGTAGCATGAGCTCAACCTACCATTTGTTGTCCAACCTACTCAACAGCAAAGCTGTACCTGGTATCAAAGTCCTCAATTCATGGACCTCTGCAATTCTTGGTGTGGTCAGAGTGCATCGTATCAACATAAAACCAGTGCATCTTAATAACATGAAATCAGTGCATCTTAAGAGAATAAAATTGCATGCACTCACCTGGTCCCTTTCATTTCTTAGACAGTATACATCCCAGACAAAACACAACAGCATGTTCATATTCTCTGATAACCTAGGAAAATATTTTAAGTTTAGAATTTTGGAACTAATTCTATTCCCACTTTCTGGTCTGATTTTTTTTTTTTTTTTACTCTTTGGCATCCATACTGTATGTGAAAAAAAGTAGAGATAATATTGGAACCAACAAAACTGCAAAACACTCTGCATCTTACGTCTTCTCACCTCTTGCTTTGCTGGAAAAACTCAGACCCTGCTCTCAAACAGGTTACAAAACAGACAAAATACAAAAGAATTGTCACTCATATGAAGAGGCTACCCACAACTCTCTCAATGTCAGTACTACACCCAGAGGCACATGCCTCACCTCAAATAACCCAGCTAACTGCTTCAGTTAGTGCATTAGGACTCCTCAAGGCCTGGTGTTCAAGGCAATCATCCTGGTAACTCATCCCTAAAAACTGACTTAAATTACTCATGTCTTGAAGAGGCATTTTGTGGCTTTAGGTTATAGAGCTGCTCAATGCAGGGATCCATGTGCCCATGCACTCATGTTAATCACTAGCAGCACCAAATATGAGTTCTTCAGAAAAGTTTTTAGATTTATTCCCCCAGTGTTGTAAAACAAGAAAGTTTAACTAATGATGAAAGTTGAGATTGGAAGAAATCAAATGAAATCCCCACTTGTATGAGAGTGCTCTGGGAGTGAGTTACCCTCGTGAGGAGGGGGTGTTTACAAAGAGTCTTGTGGATAAGGGTTGTCTCTGATGTAGCTCCATGGTCTTCTGTGGCTGTCTTCTTGTCCCAGCTGGTTTTAGAGCCCACAAAATACAAGTTGGAAATTATTTCTATGAATCAGTGATACCTGTCACCAGAGAGAAAAAACAAGAACAAGACAAAACACAAAGAGAAAATAAAGAGGAAATTTCCTATGAGGACTGGCTTAGGAAACTGTGGTTGTTTAGCCTGGAGAAAAGGAGGCTGAGGAGAGACATTAGAATTCTGTGATACTATGATTCACTCTCTACAACTACCTGAAAGGACTCTTCTCCCAAGCAACAAGTGATAGGACAAAAGGAAAAGGCCTCAAGTTGCACCAGAGGAGGTTTAGATTGGCTATCAGGAAAAGTTTCTTCACCAAAAGGGTTGTCAACCATTAGGCCACTGAGGGAAGCGGTGAAGTCTCTCCTTCATCCCTGGAGGTACTTAAAAGATGTGTGGACAGCACTTGACATGGTTTAGTGGTAGACTTGGCAGTGCTGGGTTAATTATTGGACTCCATGATCTTAAAGGTCTTTTCCAACCTAGCCAATCTATGATTCTATAAAGCCAGAGGGTACAGATTGAGTACTGCTCCTCTGCTGTACACCTCTTAATAAAATAGGGCACAACTACTGTTCAGATCTCACATACTAGCAATGTAACTAATCCTCCAGTTGAGGTCACCATGCCACATAGAATAGCTCATCACACATTTCTTGATACTGTCTATCAGTACAGGTTGAACCCCATTGTGTTAGATCTAAAAACCACAGTAGAAGCATTTTAGCTCCAAACTCTTAAAAATTTTCCCCAAATAAGAACATTTTCCACAAAACACTTTTTAATATTGACAAACCAACCACAGCATTTCAGACTAAGCCATTTCCAAAGGCGGCAGCAACAGACAGCAGCTTTCTCAAAGGACACAAATCTGTTGCTTGTTATTGGCGAAAAAAATGAGCCGGCTTTTAATATGTAATTTATGAGTTTGACGTATAGCTGAATTAATGATATAGCTGTTTTCTGTGGGCATCCACCATCTAAATTATGTTTGAAGATCGGGCTCTAGCTTCATTTCACTTAAGTCTTCATCCCTGCCCGTATTGACATTGGTCCCAGATGGGTCATTCGAAGCCAATTGCTCCCCTGAGAATCCTTTCTCAGCTTCATAAGAGAGAAAGCTACACCACTGAATGCATGCTTTAAATCATTGTGAAAACCGTAAGAACAAGCAGCTTGCAACACTGGGATTGCTATGCTTATTGCAATACCAACCAAAATATGTGACAATATCCATTTGAAGGCATTTGTAGCATTATCTTCATTATTGGGCTTCTCAGGCTGAGCTGCATAATCAAACCTGCTCAGAGCAGATGCCTGCTACGAGGGCAGCAAGGGAAAACAGAAGAAAGATATGCTTTAGAAAAATGGCTTTAATTATTGCAGAAGCAAAAACATCATATGCAAAACTACCCCAACATTTGTATTTTAGAGAAACTCGGTTTTATTGAAAATATTTTTTTTCCAAGCCATTTCAATAGAACAATCTACACAGGTACTCATATTGTCAGATAGATGAACAAAACATATTCCAATCTAACAGAAATAATTGCTCCCTGTTGTTTACTGAGAATTCCCTGATGTGCTCATAAATACAGCCCTTGAGAGGTGACTAAAGCAGATGGTGTTTTTCTTTTACCTTCAGGAACAGTCTTGAAAGGCAGACACAGGGACTGTGAGAATGAAGACCTTTGGCCCACTGTAGGAGAGGATCTGGTTTGAGACCATCTTAAAAATCTGAACGCGCACAAGTCCATGGGACCTGATGAAATCCATTCGCAGGTCCTGAAGGAGCTGGCAAATGAAGCTGCTAAGCTACTGCCCCTCATACTTGAAAAATCATGGCAATCGGGTGAAGTTCCCGATGAATGGAAAAAGGGAAATATAACCCCCATTTTCAAGAAGGGGAAAATGGATGACCCGCGGAGTTACAGACCAGTCAGTCTCACCTCTGTGGCTGGCAAAATCTTGGCGCAGATTCTCCTGGAAGGCATGCTAAGGCACATGAAAAACAACAAGGTGCTTGGTGACAGCCAGCATGGCTTCACTAAGGGGAAATCCTGCCTGACCAATTTGGTGGCCTTTTATGATGGGGCTACAGAACTGATGGACAGCGGTAGAGCAGTTGATGTCATCCACCTGGATTTGTTTAAAGCGTTCGACACTGTCCCACACGACATCCTTGCCTCTAAATTGGAGAGACATCAATTTGATGGATGGACCACTCGGTGGATAAAGAACTGGCTGGATGGCCGCACACAAAGAGTTGTGGTCAATGGCTCAGTGTCCAGCAGGAGACCAGGAACAAGTGGTGTCCCTCAGGGATTGATGTTGGGACCAGTCTCGTTACCAGTCTTGTTCAACATCTTTCTCGCTGACATGGACAGTGGGATTGAGTGCACCCTCATCAAGTTTGCCGATGACACCAAGCTGTGTGGTTTGGTTGATACGCTGGAGGGAAGGAATGCCATCCAGAGGGACCTTGACACACTTGTGAGGTGGGCTGATGCCAACCTCATGAAGTTTAACCATGCCAAGTGCAAGGTCCTACACATGGGTTGGAGCAATCCCAGGCACAGCCACAGGCTGGGCAGAGAAGAGATTCAGAGCAGCCCTGCAGAGAAAGACTTGGGGGTGCTGGTTGATGAGAAAATGAACATGAGCCAGCTTCAGTGTGCGCTTGCAGCCCAGGAAGTCAACCGCATCCTGGGCTGCATCAAAAGGAGTGTGACCAGCAGGTTGAAGGTGATCCTGCCCCTCTCCTCTGCTCTCGTGAGACCTCACTTGGAGTATTGTGTGCAGTGCGGGTGTCCTCCACATCAAAAGGACATGGAACTGTTGGAACAAGTCCAGGGCTACAAGGATGATCAGGGGACTGGAGCACCTCCCATATGAAGATCGACTGAGAAAGTTGGGGCTGTTCAGCCTGGAGAAGGCTGCGTGGAGACCTCATAGCAGCCTTCCATTATCTGAAGGGGGCCTATAGGGATGGTGGGGAGGGACTCTTCATTAGGGACTGTAGTGATAGGACAAGGGGTAACGGGTTAAAACTTAAACAGGGGAAGTTTAGATTGGATATAAGGAGGAAATTTTTTCCTGTAAGGGTGGTGAGGCACTGGAATGGGTTGCCCAGGAAGGTTGTGAAAGCTCCATCCCTGGCAGGGCTCAAGGCCAGGTTGGACGAAGCCTTGGGTGACATGGGTTAGTGTGAGGTGTGCCTGCCCATGTTGGAACTAGATGATCTTTAGGTCCTTTCCAACCCTAACTATTCTATGATTCTATGAACATTGCTGTATTAGTTTCTCTGTGCTAACTTAACCTGCACCTTAATTCCTTGTTTCAAAAATTCATAAAGTGAAAGGTAGGGTCATCTTAATCCTTTCTCCTTGGGTTACACTGGGGCATGTGGATACCTTGCCACAAAACACTCCGAGAAGAATATACACAAGCACTCTGGGGCAAAGCAGTTTACAGGCTGCAAGTTCACTTGTGCTGAAGAGCCTGGCACAGCCCAGTGTCACAGAACAGTACCCCAGAGAAAACCAGTTTGAGTCCAATGCCACTTCAGCAGGGCTCATTTAGAAATAACATCAGATGAATGTGGCTCAAGTTACCAGCAGTTCAGCTATTTCTGCAGCATGCTGATACAGCTAAAGCCTTCAGTTTCTATTCTGAAGGCAGACTGAAGGCTCAGTCTGCACGGTGATTAGGTGCTTGCCTGTAAGGCGATTCTCCAGCACTTCTCTGCACCAACTGCTACATTTGCAAATGGCACCAGTCCTTCAGGCAAGAGGATCCTTTAGATTTCCTTTTCTCTAAAGGAGGCTGTTGCTCCCATTTATCATCCAGTTGCAAAGATTTAATCCTACACACCAAGCACTCCCCACTTCAAAGTTTGTTAAAACCAGAATGGGGATTCTTACACACAGCCATTCCTAAACAGGGTCAACCCCAAAGGTATCAAAAAAGTCATAAGGCTGTCCTCACATGGAATTTGCATGTAACAAAGCTAGAGGTTTGTTTGTCTTTTTCTGACCCTTTTAGGCCAGTACTACTTTCCTTCCCATACACTATGCTTTAGCCATTCCCTAAAGATTTTTCAGCCTGGTCCTTTCCTGGCCCTGAATTCTGCCCCCAGAACTGATACTGGCCTATTTGCTTTAGGCTCATCATTCCTTTCTCCAGATCAAAATTTAGAAAGGACAGGACACAGAGTAAATGAACAATACCACTCTATTGATCCTCCTTAAAAATTAACAATACACACATTGCTCCTCCTCCTTGCGGGAATGGCATCAGCTTTCAATAGCTGAAGATGGGGAGATACCAGAAGGTACCCATTAGGCATAAGTAAATGAGAGACAAAAGGACTGCTCCTGTCTCAATCCAGAAAGGAAGGCAATTTGCAAGGTAAAAACATTCACACCATAGCAAGTTTCCTTCTACCCCCAGCCAAACTCACAACACTCACTTGCAAATCAGAGGAAGAAATAGACAGAAGATTGCTCTGTTTCTGTCATACTCACAACAGCTGCAATTAAAGTACTTGAAAGAAATATTGAAACTTGTACATAAACACAAACCCCGTACGTTCTTAGTTGTTTCAAACAAAGGTTTTAATTTCAAAGAACATTTCACTCCACCTTATCTTTGCTGCCTGTCAACATAGCTGAAATGTATCAGTAATAACAACTTTAACAATGACACATCACAGTCCAGAATCAAAGTCACACAGCAACTACCCTTTCCCAGCACAGGCCTAGTGTAAGACCCATCATGGTTTGTTGTAGGAGCAGACTTTTCCTTGACTTTTAAAAAATGGTGCTCAAGTAAGCATGAAAGAGATCAGGACAAATCATCCCCTTCAGAAATCCCAAGGCTGGGTCACAGGAGTTTGCTGCAACGCAGAACACAGACCTTATTCCTGAAGAGAAAAAAAATTAATAAAACACAACTTTACATCAGGAGAAATGCTTAAGAAATTGAAACTTACCTTAACCCTAACCACTGGAAAGTTCAGTTTACAAAATCCTGCTCAGTATGATTCACTAAGAACCAGAGAGCCTATTTTGGACACAAAAAACAAGACACTTCAATGCTTCTTAACCTATTTGTTCACTTGTCTGACACTGTTAACATGCTTCTATGTAGAACTACACCAGCTGTGTATGAAATACTCTTTTTTACAGGTAAAGTGGCTAGACACCACTTAGCAAGTAATTGTTCCCAGAGAAGAGCATTTAATGCAGTAGGTATACACTACTTCTCACCTGTTTTCATTTGGAGAAACAGGGCTTCACAGTCGCGGGTATCTTTGGGCTGTCTAATGTTCAGACAGAGAAAAACAACCCACACCCCATGACTATTCAATAGACGTTTAATTTTCAGAAAGAGATGTAGAAAATGCTTCGTTTTTGATAAAACACTGCATAACAGCTGGTATCTGGTACCTGCTTTTGACTACAAACTGATGTGAATTAGTTCAAACTTTGACTGCCTGACGGGGAAATCAGGAATCAAATTGGAGATCAAACTCAGCACCTCAGTAAGGTTACAAAATGCTTAATGATTTTGAGTAACTACATTCACATCTATGGGACAAAACCCAATTTGCCCTTAAGAACATATCTATATTTTTATTTTCTCCTTCTCCAATTTATCTACAAATCTAGAAAGAACAAGCCATGAAAAGAATGAAAAGGGAAACATAAATAAAGATGGTACAGATTTTTTTTTCCACAGATTTCTTGAGTCAAGATATAAGGCACTGATTTTAAAAGAAGTTCAGAGTGGAGAGTCACTAGAATTAAACCAGCTTCAGAAAATAATGTCAAAGTGCAATACATTTTTACCTTTAAAGTAATATGTAAGTTTGATTATTAAAATGAAAGAATACCAAATCACTGACAAAGTATCAAGGACACTATCTAGTATTATTTTTGATCTGAACATATCATAGGATGTTTCTATTGCCAGTCTTCAGGAAAACTATTTTACAATTCAATATATAATCCTGTATCAGAAAGAAACAGCATAGGAAGAACAAACATTAGGAAGTGTCTTAGTAAAACCAAGTTTATTCATTTGTCTTTTAGGCAAATATGTAAATAGCGAGCAAAGCCTTTTTGCCATGACTGTAAACTTTTATTAAAAAAAAATGTGTTAAAAACCAATACAGGAATTTCCATTAATGTTCTAAAAAAGTTTGTTCACATCTGGAAAGAAAATACATTTGTAACAACTCCCAGCAGAATTAATCTTTAAAAAAGTAGAACTCCAGGTGCAGACCTTTTCTACAGTATAGTATCCTCTACATTTTAATTTAACCACAGGATTGAATATCATTCATTTCTATTGGCTCTAGAACATGAACAACAGTTTATCTTAAATAGATGATATTCAATGATGTGTTACACGCTATCATAGGTGCTAACATTAAAAGAGTGCACAATTGAATTTCACTAACAAAGCAAGACCTTTCTATATGCTGCATCATAACCCTGCCTAACCAATACAGTTAATTTAGCTATATGCCTTTAAAATCACATACGTTTTCCAAGGAAAAATACTAAAAAAATCCATGGTCCAAATTCTGCTCTCACTTACATTCACAGGATAAATTAAGCACCATCAAGTTGTAGGTTTTAGTCAAAAAGCATAGCGAACCAGCTTGTTTATGAGTATAAGAGAGAAAAGAACTTGAACCATGTCTGTAAACATTCACAAAAGTCTGCAGTCAAAAGTGCTGGATAGGTGACCTATCCGCAGTACAATTATTTCGTTCATAGAGAGGTGTGGGAGCAAAGAGAATGCTATGGAACATTTATTTTAGAGGCAAATAATGTTTTCATATACTTTGGAAAAACACATTCTCAGCTAGCTAAACAATACTCCAGTAAAACAGAATACGCTTCTACCCAAATACAGTACAGCATCATTTCCTAGCTCTCTTACTCAGATTCAGACAAAGGAGTACTCAATTCAGCAGCAAGCCTATGACAGTATTTCGAAGCATAAGAAAATCTCCACACCCCCCTGATGTAGCCTCTCGTTAACATACTGACAATGCTAACAGGAGATCCTCACACATACGAATTAAAAAATGCAAGGAACCATAAACTGACCTTGATCTATGCACACACAAGAAGTGTGCATCGAGATGAAAGATCATCTATGTCTTTAAGAATCTAGTTTCACTCTAGATCTCATTCTATATTAACCACATATACCATACAAAATATAACAGGATAGGTGCTTGTGCACACTATTAAGTATACCTGTTCTCCCATTCAGCTTGACAGCCACTTGTTCTATTTACATAAGTATCTGTTTGAATGTTTCTGATCCTGTATGACACCAAACATTCAACTCATAAGCTACAAGAAGAGTCAAGGATACTCATCAATTCAGAGGATCAGACCCTGAATCAATTGAATGCAATAAAAAAATTAAGTTTGACATCTGACATAGCCTCCTGGAATCATTTTACCCTTGTGTTTTCCCTCCCTCTTTCCCCAATTCAGACCATGCTCCCACTAAAGCTGAGACAACTTTCAGTGTGAACAGGATCAGGCTCTGTCAAGCAACCACTGCAGTCTTTAAAATGTCTGGTTATCTTATTGCCATCCACTCTGGGGCAGACTTGTCTGCAATGAAAATGGTGTTCCTGGTGCTGATGGATAGTTAGCAAACCCTTCAGGCTGAGCTGGATAGTTCTCCAGAGCAGAAGCAGAATGTGCCTTCAAGGAAGAGAAGAAGTTAGGAAACAGCATTGATAAAAACAAAGAAACAAACAAAAATCTAAATTAAGCAAAATTTCAGGCACAATACCAGTCCTAGTCAAGCCAAACCAGAGTATAATCTCAAGTAAGCAAAGAACCGAGATGAGCAATGCACCTACATGCAGATGTTAAAGCTTCAGAGCAACAATTGCGCTGAAATACCACAGAATGAGGAAAGCAACCGGATTAAGAGAAAACATGAAGAAAGCATAAATGGCATTTACGTTCCACTAAAGCGCACACCAGATGATCTGGAAGGCATAGCTTAATCAGGAGCTGTGGTATTTCACCGACTCTGAACTTTATCTTCACTACTTGAATAGCTGTTAATTTTAGTGACTGGAACTTGTAAACAAGAAAACTGATGTTTCTTCAATGTAATCTGAATACATAGATTTCTACGGAATAAATAAATTCCTGAGCTACAAAAGCAGTGTGGTCTAGACAAAGAATTTTTTTCCAATCTATTTCCCCTGATACTCAAAAGATATCTGACAATACTCTGCATACTGAACAGTACTTAGACACATGCTCCATTAAAAAAAATAAATCAATCAATGGATCATAGAAGAGAGAAAACATTAATTCAAGACACTCAACTGCCTCTTTTAGTATTTTGTAGAGGACAAATTTCCTACCAGACTCCTTAATGCATACAGGGGCCATTTTTTACAAAAGGCAAAGTAAACATCTAAATACAAACTCTAATGATAGTTTCAGTTAAGCTTTGTACGTTGAAGAGTGAAACAAGTTCTTACATGGAAAAGAAATGACGAAACTACACATCACCTAAAGCCACCTCAAGATTATTACAAATGAACTATCAAGAGAAGCACAACCACAATAGACACAAATTCATGACAATCTGACTGTGCGTGTAGGGAGGCATGTAATTCACAACAAAGTGGTTTTCCACAGGAATCTTTAAGTATTAAAATGTCAGACTGGAACCGAGCACAAATTTTGCAACTACATGGTCAGCTCATTAGACTTAATACAAACCTACAAAAATTTCACTTGCGTGTCTTTTCTTTTACTCCTCCCCATTTTACAAAGAGTTTTCAAAACGGGTTTAATCCCACTTGTAACACCAGAAGCACTGTACATCGACTTTGAGTAAGTTAATATGAGTTGCTCTCTATCATCACCCTTGTATCAGTTCTCAAACAGGTTAGGGGTTTTAATCAGTTACTGACTTAAGCGTTAACTTCTTGGGATTAGTTTAAGTACATGCTCAAATGATTACTGGAAGCAAAACAGCATTAATAAATGGGCACATTACCTGTAGTAGTGCTGACTGTGCAGCCGCACTATGCTGCAATTCCTGTAAGGAAGATTGTGCGGCACTTTGGGGAAAGCCAGGGATACCAGGGAGAGATAAAAGACCAGGAAAAACTGCATTTCCTGGTGTCTGCAGTCCGGAAGTCAAGCTGAAAGAATGTCAAGATGCGGCTATTATTAGGAACATCTACATCATGTTTTAACTTAGGTTTCTATAAAAAGCGCCTCCTTTTCTAAACCTCATGAAGGCCAGAATTTCCAAACAGAAGCCCAGTCTCTACCCACCTACAAATTATTCATGCACACACAAACCAAGACTGTCTAGAGCACACCTAAGAAGGGAACTCAAAAATTCCTTGATTGTACCTACAATTTGCACACAAAAAGATCTTCAGACAAAAGTTAATGCTGAATAGCTCCTTAAAACATAGGAACATCTAAGATATTGTCTGCTATTACCTGAGTATGTCAATGGATGCCCACGTGGAATCCACTCTTGTAAAAACCTAGGAGGTGCCAAGTATCCTTATCTGAGAAATGAGATCACTCAGCACCTCAATGGATTAGTCTGTTGCAACAGGGACTACTGAGGACAGCCTATTTCGTAATTACACTCTCAGTTTCTAAAGACAGGTGGAAAACTATTGGTGAACTCAGTTTAAAAATTAACTGTAAATAGTTACTACAAGTGAAAATAATGTCTATGTCTAAGGTAAAATCAGTGTTGTGCTCAAGAGAAAAAGAAATGGTTATGACCTCCTTCAGAAACAGAAACATACCCAGCCTGTGCAACAAGTGCAGAGTTGAAGTTTGAGCTAAAGGCCGAGGCAAACCCTGGCAGGACTGGAGCCGGAGATGGGGCTGTGGCAGCTGCCGGCAATGGTGCAACTGCTGCTACTGCAGAAGATGCCTGGAGGCCAGGGAAAGAAGGGAGAGCAGGAGTGACAGAGGGTGTGTTAGAGACAGGAAAACCAGGAAAGGATGGGTTTGATGATCCCAGAGGTCCCTGGGCAACAGAAAAAAGGGAAGGGACTGCACTGGACAAGTTAAGCGAGAAGGGTGGAGCAGAGACTGTTGCTGAGGCGGCGAGTTCTGAGAGTACGGCAGCAGTGGAACTCACATGAGGGGCAGACACAGCTGAAGCAGCTGTAGACGGAGTAGCTAACAAAGACCCTGGGAGAGTGACGGGTGGCGTAAGTGCTGGATTACCAGTAAATGCAAAGTTACTGGTTAGAGATGTAAAAGGAGGAAGTCCATTGAACACAGGGGCAATGGGAGCAGAGGAGCCATGTGAGGCAAGGGAAATGGAAGACAGAGAACTGGAATTGTTTAGAGGAGCACTTAAAGAAGAGAGACCTGATAGCGCTGGATTCAGGGAACTGGGTAAACTGACTGGCACTGAAGCTGCTGAGGTGTATGCACGCCCAAGCGCTGACAGTCCTATAGTGCCATGAGAAGGGCTGGCTGAATGAGAAGGACCTTTGAAGGCCGAGAGGGTAGGACTCATGGGCTCCGTTTTGACCATAACTGGGATACTTGTAGCAGCTGGGACTGCTGAGAGCTGCTGATCAGGATTAGCAGGGCTTGCGCCATGCAGGAGGGAGGCTGATGAGCCACAGCTGACTGGCATAATCGATGGTGAAGTGGTTAAAGGTGACTGTGCAGACAATGCTGGAGGAGTGGAACTGGAATTGGTTACAGATGGGGATGAAAGACCTGGAAAAACAGCCAGCCCAGGTGTGGAAGAACGCTGTGAAGTGGGGGTGGCTGATGGGGTGTAACATTTGACAGAGGAAGTGGGAGGGTCAGAGCTTTGATTAGCAAGAGCAGATAAAGAAGCAAGTTCCCTTGTCATAGCAGAAGGTAAAGCAGATGAATTAATTAATGAAGTGTCATTTGATGTCAGAAATCCCTTTAAGACAGACAAAATTGGGTTAGGCAAGCTAAGTGAACCAGGAATGGTAGTGGCAGGAGAATTAGCAATTGTGGATGGAACAGGACTAGAAATCCCTTGGGCACTGGGTGGCAAGGACAAAGGGAGGCCAGCAAAAACTGATGACAATGAAGCAGGATTATTAGTGGAAGCAATTGAAGAGGTTGCAGAAAACGGGAGGCCAGCAAATGGTGCAGTAGCAGATGAGAAAGCTTCACTAGGTGCAGGTGTAGTGCACGGTGTGGAAGAACCTTGTGGAGCTGGTGTAGCAGTGGGTATAGAAGCCAGCCCAGAAAAAACTGCAGGAATAGGGGTAGAGGTTGCATTGTGAACAGATGTGACAGCAACACTAGGCAATGAAAGGGATTTGATGACAGTAGGGGTTGGGGTGGATGGCTGAGATGTATGGATGGAAGAGGAGACCTGTCCTGGGAAAACAGGAAGGACAGGGGTAGGCATGTTCATCCCAGAGATGAGTGGAGTTGCAGGTGCTAACGGATGGCTTATTGCCTTGACAGGTGATGGGGTAGGGACTGGAGTAGCAGCAGGTGTTGAAGGGTTAGAACCATGAGGAGTAAAGAGCTGATTCGCTTGTGCAGAAAAAGCTGCAAAGAAACAAAACTGTTAAGAATACTTGAAACTGTCAGAAATACTTGAAATCAACACAAACATATTATATAGCATTTCAAAATATGATACACAGGCAATAGCTAATAATGTGCATATAAACAATGAACACGGGAGCCTATGAAAACACAACAAAAAGGTACATACAAACACATCACACAAGTTGTACAGCACGTAGGCTACCACTCCTCTTTAAAACACTTTGTGACATCTACTACCTCTGCATGACCTCATGCAAGACAGTTAAGACACTCGTAAGAGTGTCTAAGTGACACAGTAAACACCCTCCCTCTGGTCCCTAACATCTGGCACTACCCAAAACAGATCTAATATTCCATGAGTATCAAATCACCTGGGCTCCTCTGCATCCACTCTCACTGAAGGTCAGAATTTCCTTCAGAAACAGTTAATTCAATGTATCGTTATTTCAGAGAAGTTTAGTCAACAACTGAAGAAAGCTGATTTCAGGTGCTGGTATTTTTCTTTCCTTCAAAATCAGGTCATTCTCTTCACTGTGTTTCCTTCAGATTTAGACTCTAAGAAGGTACACTTTTAAATTCATGTATCACGCTACAATATTAAACTAACATTGGCACTTGACTTTACCATGAAATATTTCTGCAAGTCCTTAGTCAGGTGTCTGCAATCGAGGCAAGCACCTGCCACTAGGAGTATCAGCTTATATCAACCCTACAAAAAGTAAGTTAGAGGCATCAGTCAAGATGGAGAAAAACAATCAGGCACTCTGCAAATGGGGATATGGAGGTTAATGAAAAGAAGCTGCTTATGAAGAACTTATGAACACTGTCAAGAGCCTAGATATTCCTCTCTCTATTTTCCTGTGGAATATGAATGTGCAAATTAATAATTCATCTCAAACAACCCTCATGCTTTATTTTACTTTTAGAATAATCCGCTCAACTGTAACCAAATCACTGATCCAACCAAACTCATCACCCTCAACTCTGAAAGAGCTTACATTTCTTTCTTGCCCAAATTCTACATCTGCAAACACAAACCCAAAAATGGAATCTTTAAGCTCATGACAAACTCCTGTTTTATGTATCTTGAAAATCTAAAATTAGTAAGTTTGCAAACTACTTCCTTTTACACATTACTTTCCAAAACCCTAAACCAATTTATCAGCTCTGGATTCTGTTTTTTTCTCATCCTGTTTCCAAGCTGAAGACTCTCCTAAAGATCACAGTTAAGATAATCACCAGAGAAATACATATGCAATAGGACTCAGAGCTGTTACTGAATTTCTCCTCCTAAGTGATGATTTTATTCCTTACACTATATTCATTTAGCTGTACAAACTATCCTGTAAACACATGTACACTTTTAAAGGGGTACATATGAATAAAGTGATCTTTTGTAGTAGCAACATTTTAGTAGGAACTTCCCTGGGCATAGAGAAGAAAACACAAAACATGCATACATTTGTCTATAAGCATTTACAGGAGATAAACTTATCACAGCCATTTAATCCATTTTAGGTATTTGTTAATATGCCTGACTCAATAGCAGATACTCAGTTTCTATTTGTCAAATCTAAAAAAGTATTATCAAAGCCTTTAAATAAATAGTTTATAATGGGATTTATTATGATTTGCACTAAGTATACAAAGCATACAAAAAACCACACTAGTAAGAGACAAAAAGAACCCAAAAAAAAACCAAAACAAAAAAACAAACCCCACCAACAACCAAAAAAGCCCAAGTCTCTCTGGATTTTAAAGGGTAAGGCAGAAGTGCAGGTGGACTTAGTTGAACAGTCCAGGATAAGACATTCTACATATGTATTTCAACAAACTGTAAATAAAGAACCTGTCCTTCTCATATTCCTAACTTGCCACTGAAACTAATATATGAAATGAAAACATGAATGAATTTTCAAATAATGTCCCCGAGTTTTAACACGTGCAAAGATATTAATGAAGTATTTCAGTGCATTACATTGTAAAGCTTATTTTGATTTAGTTTTTTTTACACAATTTCTTACATGCTATATGCTGAAGAATATAAAACTTTAATGAGGTAACACAGAAAGCTTAACTTAAATGCTTCAATGCTTTTAAGTGCCAAATGCCCGAGATGATTTTATTTCTCCACTCTCAAAGGATCCTATTCCAACAGTAATTAAATACTCAGAGGCTTACGGAAATCCCACCAAACAAACAAGCTGTTTATATTTTCTGAACAAATGACAGATAAAATCAACATAAAAATCCCCATGTGGATTTGCAATTTACCTTGATTTTGGGAAGGTTTTGCCTGGCTAGAAAGGTCCTCATTTTCTAAACAGAAAACAACAGTTTGTTATTTAAAAGCAAATAGAACTCCAGCAGTGAATGACCCACTCACAAAAATGAATTAGAAAAAAAAAATCAACATTTTTAAAGGTATGCATACTTTACCTGATACCACCTGATTAGCAGTGTATGGCTGAGGAGCTGGTAGGCCTGAAGCTATGACATTAGCCATTGGAACTAATCCAGCATTGTTGTAAGCACCTAAAATATCAAACGCAATTCACATCTCAGTCATCAGAAGGATCCATATCTAAATGAACCAGTAAGTGTCTTTTCCTTTAAAAAAAACATTTTCGATATTGTAAGACATTCCTTCACCAAAAAGCTATACCAGCATCATATGCTGGATGCTGACTTTTGCCCATGTCTGTCTGAACAACCTGCATTATGACCCAAATTTTAATAAGGGCAGTTCTCTTGAGAAAGACAGAAAAAGTCAGGTTTCAATTGCTTTCAATTCTTTTTTGCTTGAAAAACTCAAAGGGAGGAGTGATTCAGTGTGTCTGAAGCATCATTTGCTCTTTTCCTGTTTCTGACTTAAAGGCTGTTGCAACTCATCCTTTAACATTAAAGCCCTGACAAACAAAACAGCCAAACAAACCATGCCTGGCCCTCCAACGCTACACTCAGAAATTTCAGAGAAAAATGTCCCATCTCAAATACTTAGCCTATCATTCTTCAGTATTTCCTTAAATGCTAAGAAATTCAAGTGGACTAGCAAGTCATTTTAATGTAAAATACTTATCGTCCTTGAATTTATGTTTCATGGGGAAAAGGTAGTACTTGATCAATACTTTTAAGTGCTTCTGATTTCACACTTTCATAATAGTTCAAGTTAATGATAGGATTTCTTGCCTGACAACTCTTGGCTGAAAACCAGTAAACTAACAATCACTGTGTCACCCAGGAAGGAAATGTTAAACCAATACAGTAAGAGTCAGAAAACAAAAGATCATTCTGACCATTGCTTGAAAATTCAACATTCAACAGTTTCAGGTCAGATTCTGCAATCTCATTAAACACATTTATTATATACATAAATATATCATCAGTTATGAGTTCTGCGGTCTCAAGGTTTTTTTTAAAAAAACATGCTGCAGTCTGGTAAGACCCAAAACTTCAAAAACCGTTTCATGTCCTAAAAGGTGGTAATACTTACATCCAGTTACAGGCCAAATTTTGTGCCTAACTTACTCTGGATAGGATTTATTTAACCTAAATTTGAGCTAGTCTGCAATTTCCTGTACACTTTCCTGGGAGCAAGTCATCTTAGGACACAAATAATCAGACTTACTTTAGACACCAGTAGCACCCATTTTTCCAAACTGACTATAGAGACTTGCAGACATCAAGTTGGTTAGATGACTCGCCCTTCAACATGCATGCCAAGAGCTCTAGCACACTTTCTTATCAAACACCTTAAAAACTCCCTGAAATATCTAACATCAATGGAAAGCAAACTTCCTAACCAAAGCACTCCTTGTTTTGCAGTACTGAATTGCAAGATTAGGAAAAGCTTTCAGCAGCTGGTTAAAAAGACCAGAATCTGACTATGCAAGTACTCCAACATTTTCTTCCATAGAACTGACCACTGCCTTGCTCACTTCCAAAAATATCTGGAATAAAAAAACTGATGCATGGGGGAAAGGGAGAAGAGTTTGTGAAGAAAGACTCAATCTTGCCTAAGGCACAGGGCTAGGAATAGCTAGACCAAACACAGGAAAAGGCAATTACTAAGTCCCTTCTGTGACTTAAATTTGCATACCTGAACGTTTCTTTTAGGAAACTTTTCTCTCCATTGTGATGGAGAGAATGTAATGCTGAAGGGAACCGAGAAAGAAATTACCCCTTAACTGAGAAGCAGATTACTGTCCTTCAGCAAGCTCCTACTTATTTCCACCCAATTCAGAGCTGTGTCTGACCACAACCTCAGTTTGGCACAACAGCAACAAGACTTGTCAAGCTAAAGTTCAAACCTTGGCCAAACATTACAAGACAAGACACAGTCCTAGTCTTGTCTAACATGCACAATGCCTCCCATAAAAGACATACAAACAGGATTCTGAATTTTCCTTATGTGGATGTTGGAAAAGATGTTACATATTCCTCTTTCTATAAAATCCGCAGGCATGACAGGAAGAAGTAGAAACCAGTACGCAGAGTACATTTAGCGAGCTAATTTCAGGTATGATCAGAGGAACTGACATTCGACACATTAGTTAAAAGGCAAGTAGATGAAACAATAGTATCAAGCTAAAACACATAGAAGCCTTACTTGGTGCAATAGTTGCGTGTGGCCGACATGGCGGGATGGGGTATGGAACCGGTTTGTGAGGATTGTAGGTTGATGGAGCCTACATAAACAAAAAAATTAAAAGAAAGGAAGAAGCAATAGTGAAAACATTACCTAATGTTTCTCAGACAAAAAGCTAACAGATACTACTACAAGCAGTAGTGGCATCTTTTCTTCATTGGAGAAAGATTTTATACCAAATTTCTTCATAATATCCATAGTAACTGCAAATATTTCACTCTTAATGAAAAGAATGAAACAAACATCACCAGTATACCTTTAGGTTTTAATATAATAATGAACACCAAGGGAACATCTTCCTGCCTTGTAATCTTCACAAGCTGCAGTCTTGGACTGACTTCTCACTTTAAAGATTTAGCACATTTAAAACTAACCAAGACTTACGACACCTGTTCCTTTAAAATAATACAGCTTAGTGGGAAACAAACAACAATAAAAGTGAAAACAAGTTCACTGAAAGTTTTTCCCACATGCTTAAAGATTTTGAAATACAGATCAGCTGTCTTGTTGAGAAACAAGAACCCCCTAAGGCACTGCTGTAATTCAGGTTTCCAAGATGCAGGCATTTTTTAATGCTTATGTGGGAAACCCTTAGCGATTGTAATAAAAAGTTGCATATACTTGTATATAAAACTACCACTAGCTCATGATGGACTACTAAAAATGCTTTTAGTTTTCTCTTCTACTACTGTAATTTAAATTCTGCTTTCAAATGCACACACACCGTATCCATTAAAGAATTCACTGACATAAACTAGAGCTTCTTTTCAGGATAAATAAAAAAATACTAGGTCATAGATATTTATTAGCTAAGATTAGCCTTGTTTAAATTGTTGCTCTACAGTCTTGCCACATAACAGCATTTTATATCAAAGCTTAATTGAAATAACTGGTGGTTACTCCCCCCACCCCTAAAGTTTAATTAATTTATTCATTTATTAGACATACTGGTTTGGATGGTCCAAGTATTCGGGCTGCTATTCCTTTTCCTTCGTTACTATACTCTTCCGTGTCCTTTTTGATAGGGGTTCCCTGAAACAAAAGAAAATTAAACAATTAAGTATTAATTCAGAAGTAAATCTTGCTACAGGACTTCTGCTGTATTTGATTTTATTTTTATTTTCTAAACTACAATTGAGTTTCTGAATATTCTGAAACTGATACTTAATCACGTTTGTTATGGAAAAGAAACTGTGTTGTAGGGTTGTAAAATGCTAGAGCATTTCAATAGCTTGGTTTATAACACTGACCTTTTATGAAGAGATGCATATTAAGCAGTCCATGTTTCTGACAGAATTCTGCACTTTGACTTGTGAACATGATAACTAGCATTTTGCAGTCCCTTAAGGGTTCACAGGAAATACTTAACATGGTTGTTTAAGAACTACACTAAGATTAGCAGCAGTACTGTAAATGACCATATTAGGTCATCTTATCAACCTACCAGAGTAAGGCTCTTTACACTTCTGATTCTGCTAAATACTGCTACAGTTTACAATGTTTTCTTTGTATGAACGATGTCTTACTTATGCCACAACCTTTACTTGAAGCAGCATAGAAAGAACAGATAAATAAAAATAACACAAGTTCCTATAAATGTGGAATGCAGTAATAAGAATGCCCAACAACATTGCTTTTGATTTCACTCCTCCTTCCATGTAAATTAATCCTGGTTTTGGTTGTACTGCAATGAATCTTAAGGCAAAAACAGAGGATCATGCTTACTGGGAAAATTCCATTTATGCGGCTTGGTTTGCCCTTGGGATAAGGGTTGCCTGGAATCATGCCACAGGATGATATCATAGCATGAGGAGCCTTACAACCCATTTTTGAAGCCTGCAAAATAATCAAAAAAGGATATTATTTCCTGTCACATTCAATGCTTTAAAGAAACAAATTACTATTTCATGACATTAAGACTGCATGAAACAACCAACATGGAACAATTCAGAGCTTTGTCTCAAATCTTCTTCCCAAATAGTGTAAGGTTCTGCTAAAGTCCCCTTTGTTTTGAGCAAATGTACTCGGACTATGTCTGATTCTACTGGACTTGTAGTTAAGTACTTGGTGTTTTCTAAAACTAACGTGGACTTTTTCCTTCAGCACTGGTTGTAGCTCTGTGCCCCTTTTCCCATATAATCCTAATGCTTAACAGAAACTCTTCTTTTTTTTGCACATGTATGAGATAGCTCCAATTGTCTTTTTGCAGCTGCTCCTTTCAGCTGGTCTTCCATCAGTAGCTCCCAGCAGTCCTCATGGAAAGTCCTTACCCCACAATGACTATATGGATGGAAACAATACCATATTTGAGAGAATCAAGGATACTAGAGTATCATGACTACCTGTTCAAGAATTCTTCTGCATCTTTTCTTCTCTGACATATTAATTCTGAACAGATCTTCAATAAGGCGGTAATTCTGAGCATCAACAATGTTGCTATAAATGAAAACACTGACAATTACTGCCACCTCCTACACTTAACAAAAATAATGGACTACTGAAAAGCAATCAACACTTATTCAGCCAGTACTAACATGTATTAAAAAATATAATTAGTTAAGATCATAATATTACTATTAATATTAAAGTAAAAATCCCATTCTTAAATATGGACTTCATACATGTAAGTATTAGAACCGAGTGTCAATATGGAACATTGGATGACAATGGCTAAACTTCATGGCAAAAAATACTGTTGACAAAGTGAATTTTGCATCGCAACAGTTTGTTGGAAAACTTTAATTGCTACTAGCACACAACTCCCAGAACAGCAGAAAACCAGCATCTACTTCATTTGCCACTGTGTTGCTAGGCTAGTAGTGAAACAAATTTTCATCTTATTTACGGTAGAATGAAAAAGAATAAAATACTGGCAATTCCCTCCATGTCCCGAGTTAGTGAAACCCTTCACATACATAGTTCAAAAAAGTACCCTTTGTTTCTCCTTGCTTCTCTCTCCAGAATAACACTAGACATACTAAAGAGAACAACCAAATGTTCAAGTGCCTGATTCTACCTGCCTTTTTCAAAACCGTGACCTCAAAACCTTTACTGCTGTCAAACATTACATGCCCCATCCAAACTACTGGAAATACAAAAAAGGGAGATTTCTCAAAGGAGGATATTAGAAGAACTGGAATCAGCGGAATGTTGAAAAAAGAGATGAAAACCACCTCAAAGAATAGTATTAAAATGTGAATGAATGATGAGCTTTGCTCTCTAGTTTTGATTAGCAAAGTAAGTAGTACATAGATTTGGGTTAGGAATTCCCTAACATAACTCCCTTAATTATGCTCTTACACTGTAGAAATTCAACAGTTAAAGAAGTTACCACACTTTCTGCTCACATCATCTGAGGTATAGCAACTAAACGAGTCTATGAGTTCCAATCTCATTTCAAGAAGCAAAACAGGTTAGTTTAATGAACCACTGAACTTCCTTTAGGCTACTCTGTTTTGTTTTGGTCTGAAAGAGAGTAGGAGCATTCATATAGCTTCTAAAAGATCAAATCCAGAAACAAGATCATGTCTATATCCTCTTTGTTATTTTTTTTATGGTATCTATGTAATGAACTTATGTATCCCAAAATGTTCAAGCTGACTGTAATATACAGTATTCATAGGCAAGGCAGAATACTTAATGCAAAAAAAAAAAACAACAAACAACAAAAACAACAACAACAAACAACAACAACAAAAAAACCAAAAAAAAAACAAAAAACCAAACAAAAATCCTCAACCTCAAACAGAACAGCACTTCATAAACCCCTTAAAGCAGAAAGAGTTCCAATATAAACATACGTAAAAGGTAAGTAATTTAAAGCAGCTGTGTTCAGCAAAATAACCCAACATCCTGTGTAAATATAAACACAGGATATCTATACAGCTTCTATAGATCTGTAAGTTAAATTTTTCAATTTAAGCGAATGATTCACTTAACTCATTTTTACATAGTTAATATTTAGAGGGCTTTTCAAATGTGCAACAGTCAATTCCCAGAATACTCTGGTCTCAAGCCTCTTACATTTCAGTGAGCAGAAATAAGCTTAAGGCCCTCTTTCATTCTCTACAAGACCTGAAGCCGCTGTAAAACACCAGCAAAATAGCAGTTTTCCACGAGGCAGAAGCCCACATAGCAGCATGCTCAAGACTTAGATGAACTATGCAGTTTTCCACAATGTCTACTTTTAAGTCTTCTTTTTACAGCCCTGTCAATAACGGATTTGTGCTTTACCTTATCTGACACCAGTGTTTCCTTCTAGAAGTATCTTAAGTTCTATATACTCAAACACCAGTAAAAACAATATAAGCTAAGGAAATACAGCATGAGAGATACTTACGAAGCTAAGATTTCAAGGGCAATAAGTTTATCTTTACTGAATGTGAAGCAGTTGAGAATATTAACCATTTTTGATGCCGGAACTGCCACTATTTTCTGACAAGTAAGCAAGAAAAAAAAAAAGTGTATATAAAATAAGGCAGTACAATTATTTTAAACTCAGAATGCAACTCAGTAACAGCTTTATATATTTAAGTAAACATTTATTCAGTAAACACCTCCTTCCCATTGATGACTTTGTATGCTAGCTTCAAAACTCCAAAAGGCACTTGGCAAAAGTAAAGAAATTAGGAAGTTAACAATAGTTACAAAGGGCTACATCTACTCTTGTGAAACACAGGAAAGTAAAGATTCCCTGGTTAAAAGATTTTAGTCAGCAAAGGTTCCCTGGTTAAAAGTATGAAGTTTCATATTTTGACACCACTGAAAAAGAGATGAAAAGGAAACTTTGAAGATAAGGGCAGACTGAGACAGCAGTTGCAAAAGCAGAAATCACAAAGCTGAAATTAGATTAAGTGGCCAAATTTACACCACAAGATTATGTCACAAAAACTTACATGTTGTAAAGCTTTTATTGCCTTAAGCTGTGGTTCAGCCCAAGAAAAGTATCTCAGTAACTCAACAACCTGCAACAGAAAGGTCTTCAATTAACCTTTTATATATAGTAAAAAATTATGCTAACAGCATCAATAGGATCCTTCCATTTTGGGGCTATAGTGGAATACTGCTAAAAAAATATCTTTCTGTGATGTTTGACTATCAGTACCTACCAGCATCTGAAGTTGGTTTTATTTATAAGGTGCCTTTATAAGTAGGCACCTAAAAATACTATGTTACAAGAAATACCTTTTATATGGTAATATTCAATAGATACTTAACTCTTCTCTATATATTTGCATATATGCACAGCAATTGCCAAGGTATTAGAACAAGAATAATAAAAATAAAAAGAGTATTTCTGAAAAAGCTTCTAAACTCCCAGTATCTTAAACAGCATCTTCACCAAACATACACACACACAAAAACCCAACAAAACAAACAGCAAAACAAACAAAAAAAAAGAAACAAGGAAAAAATCTGTATCAAAATAAATTGGCTATTTATGACTATGTGCCAGTTTAGAAAATATATGCAAAATAATCCTAAATTCCATTATGATAAATATATCCAGTTTTCCCCACACAGCAAGAACAAGAACATAATAATATGGTAAAATATGGTAACGAAACAACTTGGAATTATTTTCAGCAGTTTAATGCTGATATAATAATGAAGAATTAAATCTTTTCAGGTAATAAATAAAAAAGCTAATATGATCAGCCTCGGTGTCAGTGGAGACCCTGTCTTTCTATATTTCTGAATACACAAAAGCAATAGCTCCCATTAAATCCATGACAGTGTTGGCTTTTACCTGTTCACTAGAAAAGTATCCATGAACATATTCAATAGCTTTTAATTTATACTCAGTCAGTACAGCCTAGAAGATATAAAAGGAAAAAGATGCACAATTAGTCCATCAAAAATTACAATTGTAGAACAATCATCTGCTAGACCAATCTATTAATCTAAAAAAAGCCTGGCCGTATAAAGTGATATTATATCAATTACACTGCAATAATACCAAGTAACAGTATACTCTTTAGGTACTTGAGAGAACAATGAAAAGCACAGATATAATTATTCTGTAAAAAAAAAAATTTATTTTGCTTTTATTTTTTTTGCTTAAAACTATACTGAGGGAACATCATCATTACTCTTCCTCAAAGGTTTACATCAACTTTACCTTAAACAAGATAATACAGATTATTATTCATACAGTATCTTTGTATGCTCCCTGTAAGATAATTAGCAAAGCATCCTACTTCCATGAATTTATGAAGAGATTGCATATCAAGAATTAAGCATACAACAAAGTTTGTTGCAGAAGTTGATGCTGTCTTATCATTACCTTCCCATAGTTCAAACTTTAGTACAAAATCTTACAAAACAAAGGAAGCAGAGTAGTTTAATGCAGTACTGGCCACCGTTTTTTGACTTAGTGGCCAGTTTTCTTAATAAGCATGTGGGCCCTCTAATAGTCAGAGCTTCCTCCCTCTTCTCATACCCAGCTCACTGATACAGGTACAAGACAGCTGGATTCTGCCCCAACCTACTGCAAACACCTTTATTCCCCAGTTTCCCAGGCCCTCATTTATTGGTAGCTCTCATGCTTATTCTGAAATCACCTCCAGCTTCACCCACAAACCAATACTATCTTCTTCCCAATAGCTCTAAAATCTACCCCTAATCTTTCTTTTGTTGTTCTTGTGCCTCCAAACTGACAGATGTGAAGTTCTGCACCACTGCAACCTGTGTGTGAGCAGCACAGGTACACAGAAAACCACTTGCATCCTGTTTGAAACAGCCCCTTTCTCTTCTGTACCTCATTAGGAGAACACTACTACACTGAACTTCTTGCTTCGTACTAATTTTTAATTCTCTCCCTTCCTTCTTTTCACATATTTTGGGAAAAAAAAAAAAAAAAAGGAAAGAAAAAAGCCTAATATGTCATATAGCAATTTCTTTACCAAAACAAATGTCACTCTTCCACCTTAAATCAAGAACTGAATGATTTTATAGTAAGTACACAAACAGAAAGCACTGATATGTATATTTATGGAGAAACAAACAAAAAGTCCCAAAAAAATAACAAACACACTGATTCTGTTAATAATTGTATATATATGGAGAAAGCTGGAACTAAACTACACTTTAAGGCATCTAAATAATTGTTCCTGCTAACTGTAGGACTAGAAATGGAATACACTAACAAAACTGACTTGTGAATCACATAATAAAGAAGGTTATACCACAGAGCTAGAAATAGAGATCTAGCAACAAAGACACAAAATAAGCATTTGGAAAATGAGCACTGCAACAGCACAGCTATTACTAACACGGCACAGTACTCATGTACAGGTTGCTTCTTGATTTTTCCCTTCAGACTTTCCATTAAAATTCTTAGTCACTGTGAGGGGGGTGAGGCACTGGAACAGGTTGCCCAAAGAACCTGTGGCTGCCTCATCCCTGGAGGTGTTCTTGTTGAAACCGTTGCTCAGGCTGGACAGGGCCTCAGCAACTTGGGTCTAGTAAAAGGTGTCCCTGCCCATGGCAGGGTGGGGGGAGTGAAACTAGGTGATCTTTAAGGTCCCTTCAAACCCAAATCATTCTATGGTTCTATGGAAGTACACACCATGAAATCTCTTAGGCAGTCACGTTTTTATCTGGTTACGCAGCACAGAAAAGACCTGGTTTATAAAGGAGAATTTATGACCACAACCTTATACAAAAATACTAGTAAGTGCAGCTGTGATAACAAAGACTCATCCCTGGGGCTTTTATGAACAGTGGTTTATAATTCAGCATGCTCCAAAATACTACTACTATAACGGTAGCCATCACTGCATCTAATGCTGAAGAGAAGCTGAACTGAAACCCAACTCTGTAACATCCAAGTCCAAATAAAGGAAATGCCCTCTCCTAGGCAACCCATTGTAACAAAACCCACCTATCACAAAAATACTAAGTATTCCTTTTCTGCCATAAGGCAATCTTCTCCAAAACAAGCCCTTCATTTTCATACCACGATAGCTCTATCAGGATACATAACTGTTCCACTGTGACACCTGAACCACCTCTGTGCTACAGCAAAACATGTTATCTCAGGTTTGTACTTTCCATTCAAGACAGGAACCATTAATCTCACAGGTGCTGACTTTTTTTAACTTCTCTTTTACTTCCAGTATCTGAGGAACTACTCCAACCACTAACCTCTAGCTTTCCTGTTAAATGCAAGCCTCTCTGCAGAAATGAAAGGCCTGCAAGACACCAGGAAGCCAAGGTTTGTAACCCTGCTTCCCACAATTAGCCAGTATTTTGCGCAGTGAGTTTTTAACAGGTGTGCAAGCAAAACCTGGGGTTTTGTTTCCTGAGAAAGGTGTGCAGACACTCCTGAGCTGTGGGAGATATGGCTTTGAACAAGAACAGCAAAGTGCAGCTTTGAAGTTGAAACTGTCATGTCGCATTTGTGTGTTGTATTTCTTAAACCATCCTACAGAAGGTGGACAATTCACACTGTAAGTCCCCATCTCCAGTCAGGCCAAGCAAATGTAGCGCCTATCGCAAACACAATACTTGGTTATTTTTGCTTTTCTTCTTCATCTAGTGTAAATGTTGTGATAAACTTATTCAAGTGCTTGCTTTAAATGAGTGTTCTTCAAGCACATGTTAACTCAGTGGTAGCAGCCTGGACTTTCAATCTTCATTTTCTAAGAAAAATCAAAACATTTCAAAAAGAATATATTTTCATAGCAGCTTTACACTGCTACACCTGACACACAAACACCAGGATACACCAGCAGCACAGGGTTACAGCTCTTCATACCGAGATGAAACTTAGTCTTTACTGAATCCTGGAGTGATTATTAAAGAACACAAACACCTGACCTGGTGTGTTTATCCAGAGACACATTCTACCTTCAAATGGTTAACCTAGCATGCAAAATTAGAAGTTACCTTTCTAATTTCATCCAGCACGGTTTCAAATGATTTCTTGTCCATCCTGGTCAGTTCATTCAATGCAAATACTTAAAACGTAAATGGGGAAAAAAAAATCCAGTCCAAAGATTTAAGAGTCTTCAGCCACACAGGAAAAAAAAAAAAAACCCCACCCAACACACAAACATATATATATATATATATAATAATAATAAAAGTAGCAGGGTAGGAAATGCAGCCTGGGACCTTCCCAGCCTCTGGGAATTTAGAGCTGACGCTTCTGCACTGCTGGACGCAGTGCTAGAGACAAAGGCAGGCTCGCCTTTGCTGTTCGCCGCCACTCGCGGACACCCGCGCTCGCCTGATGTCCCGAAGCCGTTCTCCCGGGCCGGTCAGAGTCATGAAGGGGCAGCAACCGCGGCCCCCGGAACGACCCCGCCGCGCCGCTACCGTCAGCACGCGAGGCCCCCACACCCCATAGCTCTCCTCGCCGCCGCCCTCCAGATTCCGGCGGCCACAGGCCGAGGCGCTTCCGAAGGGCGGCCGCCGGGAAGTGCGGGGCAGCGGGACGGCAACAAGGGTGCGCAGCGCTGCCTCCAACAGAGCACCCCTCTCTGCCGGTCCTGCCGCTCGCCGTCGCGCTCCTATGACATCAGGACGCGGCGCCGAAGGCCCCGGTAGTCACCCACAGCGGTGCCTGCGCAGAAGCAGCTAAAACTCTAGCAGGACTCGCCTCTCTTCAAGTCCCCGGGAGTCACGCCGCAAAGCTAAGCGCTCCCGCGGGGCGCACCGCGCTCTCTCTGCCATGGCTTCCTGCCGCCGCCACTCGGCTCAGAGCACGCACAGTTCCACGCAGCCCGGCATTGCGAGAAGCGGCGAAGGAACACGAAACCCCACCCCCGTTCCCCTCGGCGCCTTCCGGGGGGGGAGGGGGGGGGGGGGTTACGTCACTGCCATGACAACGCGGCCCTCCCCTGCGCGGCTCGGCACGCATGAGGCGGAAGCGGTCGCCGGGGCTGTGGCGGGTAATGGCCGGTGCGCTGCTGGCTGTGCTGGCCCTGCTCTGGGGCTCAGAGGTGGGCTGCGGGCTCAGCGAGCGAGCGAGGCGCGGGCTGTGGGGTGTTCTGGGACGGCTTCTCGCCCGAAGGTGGTTACCGGGGGAGGGTCCGGAGGAGTGCGCTTGACGGCGGGGTCGGGGCTGCGGTTCTGCCTCACGTAGCGCTAGGCGTAGGGTTGGTTATGTGTTTTTGTGGGCCTTGGGCGACATGGTCTGCTGTGAGCTGTCCCTGGCAGGGGGTTGGAACTGGATGATCTTAAGGTGCTTTCCAACCCTATCATTCTGTGACTTATACAGCCCTTCCGAGATAAATGCATACACGGGGTGATGCTTTTATAGGGGCTTCCCAGCAACAGGCTCTGCTTAAATGAAGACGATCTTAATGATATCCGGGCAAGTAATTTTGCACTTCTTGCAAATCTTGTCTGATTTTCTCTGTGCTTAAGTACTCTCGATTTTCTTTAGGGATAGTCTGGTCTTTCTGAAGCTGTTCGTGGTTCTGTGTGGCGAACTTAGCCCTGCTTCTAGTAAGGCACTTAACAGAAAAGTTAAATGTCCCTGGGCCTGCAGGATCACCACTTGTTAGTTCTGTCCCGATCATTCAGTTTCAGTGCCCTGCTTGCAGCTGTGCTTAGCTTCCATTCTTCTGCTGGAAAACAGTACAAGTGAGAAGATTATAGTTTCCCATTGTCCTTTAAAATATATATATATTGATCCGAGTTTTGCTTTCCTGGTATCTTAAGCTTCCTCATTTCCAAGATGTGGTTTTCCTTCCTGACCTGCATATTACTTTTATTCTGATTTTCTTACTCTCATATCCTTTGAAGTTGTTACCGATTCTGTTGTGTTTGGAACTGTCTCTACTATTTTCTTCGTTTTGGAGCACAATTTACAGATAAGTATTAGCAACATCAATATAAGAAATTTCAGGCTGTTTTTTTTTTTTTTTTTTTGCCTTCTAATTCCAGAGCTCTTAAACCCAAAGGATTTCTTTAGCTAATTTCCAATTTGTTGAAATAATCTATTTTCTTAATTAAAATTGAACAAATAAATTTATGATGCTTCAGTACACACTTGCTTTCTACTGCTGGATATTCTGGTCCCACTGTTATGGAATTTATCAACTATTCGATATTTATTTTGTATTTTCAGGTTTTAAAAGCATTTGATTATGTCTCTCCTTGGAAGGGACAGCAACAGATGTACAAGTTGGACATAGGTTGGCCTAAAATTCCAGAATACTTCACTAGCCAAACATTTTGTGTTGCTGTTGACTCTCTTCATGGTTTGGTCTATGTGGGACAAGTGAGTGAGAATATTATACTCCTCTATTTGTTGTTCTAGTGTATTTTTGCCCTTAAAGTTACTGGTTTAGGATATATATGTGTGTGTCTGTGAATAATTATTTTTTCAAAATTAGTGAAAATATAAGAACACATGTTTCTGCTGTACTCATTTTTAAAGCAGTTCTGGCACCATACTTGTTTGTGCTTTTATAAGCATTAAATTTCTGTGGTGCGAATGCATTATTTAACTTAACTGAGTAACAGTAGCTTCTTAACTGCAAAGTAAAATGTAATTCTGGAGCAGATGACTCTTCCACTCTTTCAGCCTTTGTCCCATGAAATCAAAACCACACAACTCTTTAGCCAGTTACAGTAACTGCCGTTCAGTTATTTACTGTACCCAGTTCTATGCATTTGTATCTCTAGGTCACAGATGAAACATTCTCTCCATGGCAGGTGGTGGGATTTAATTATAAAGCACCCTATGAGTGCCTGAGTGCTGTGCTACTAATAAGTATGGTTACAGTTTTTCATGCCTGTGTTACACTTGTCATATTTTTTAACAAGAACGTAAAAACACAATTCAAAATGAAGACCAGGGTAGCTGCAGGAGCTTGGCTGCTCTGAAAACTGGACTATTGATTCAAGTTGAAACTCTACAATGAATGGAAGGATTTGCATGCTAAACTTAGACCCTTCTTCCTCTTTTCTAGATGGAAAAAGTGAGATCTAGCAGACAATCTCAGGAGATCTTACAATTCATGAAGCGTTGTAAAAAACTTACAAAGAGGAATTTCAAAACATATGATTACTTGATTAATATGTTTTCTTATTAGACCTTTTTTTTTTTTGCCTTTTTTTGCCTCTTCAGAGGGGAGACAATGTGCCAAAGGTACTTGTATTCTCAGAGGAAGGCTATTTCCTTTACTCCTGGAATGATACAGTTGAAATGCCCCATGGTATCTTTGTACTGAACACCGCAACTGATAGTTCAGTATGGATCACAGATGTTGGAACAGGTATGCATGGTGGTAGTATTAGCATTTCTTTCCCCACCTAATGCTAATGCTGCAGATACTACTTTAAACATCTCATTTAAGTCCTTCAAAAAATTCTGAGGCAGATTGGTGCTTTTCTTGCCATGAACAAACTTCTTGGGTGCTGCACAAAACACTCTGAATGTTTAGGATTTGTGCTGTGTGTCTGCTTATAGCTTCTGAAGTTAGTAAGCACTACCCCCACCCCTGCCAGGAGAATTATTGGGAAAAATAAATATTCTGGCTAGACTTAGGTCCTAGGTCTGGTGACCCTAAAACAATGGATGAATATTGTAGCTGATGGGTTTACTAACCCACAGTCATAGTCTCACTATGGAATTTTGTCTGTTTGATTTATTAATATCACTTGTGAGTATCTTTTTTAATCTTTGTAATCAGTTGTATTGTTTTTGTTTGTTGTTGTGTTTTTTTTTAATTCAGGGAAATATGGGCACACTGTGAAGCAGTATAGCCCTTCAGGTAAACTTATGCAGATTTTGGGCACGCCAGGTAATGCTGGTTCAAGTTTGATTCCCCTACAATTTGACCAACCAGCAGACATCTTTGTAGAAGAAAGTGGAGATATTTATGTTGTGGATGGAGATGGAGGAATGAATAACAGATTGCTCAAACTATCCAACGGTATGGAAAAGTAAACTTCTGCAGTAGCTGACCACTGACAACTGAATTTTAAATAACAGGGCTTGAGAATACTTTTAAGTGAGGACCGGGTAGAGCTGTCATTTAACATTACTTTGAAGACTTTGTTGAATCAGATCCTGTTTTGTTGCTTGTCACTTCAGGAGAAATCTCCTATTCATTAACAACAAAAGGCTGATAAAATGAGTTTGTTCAGTCTTCAAGAGAGAAGGCTAAGGAGGGTTCATATTGCTGTCTTCAGGTGTATAATGTGAGAGAAGAGAAAGCCACACATTTCTTGGAGGTGCATAGTGAAGAATAAGGAATGCTAAGCAAATGATACAAGAGAGGTCAATTCCAGCTTGATTTTTTTGAGGGACAGTCTCACAATGAGGCTGAGCAGACAGTGAACAGTTTGTCCAGAGATGATGTGCAGTCTCCACTCTTGGAGGTGCTCAAAACTTGACAAGTAACCTGATCTACAGGGTTGGATTTGTTATCAAGGCTAGTCCTGCTTTGAGAAGCAGATTTGCCTGGATGAGGTCTGGAGATCTTGTATACTTAAATTATTCTGTGGTTCTAATTAGCTTGCTCATATTCCCCAGTTAGATGACCAGTGTTGGTTAGGGCAGTGAGTGAGGAGTCTGCACTTTTCTGTCATTGGAAAAATGCGGAGGAGCTAGTGTTTCCTTTGTTCTATCATAAAAATTAGTTTTGTAATATCTATTTTGCAGATTGGTAAACTGTGAAAATGCAAAACTGACTCAAAACTGTTAGGTAGTGAATAGTAAAAGATTAATTTAGTAAGCAAATTAATATCGTAATCATCCACCTATTTATATTTTTTCCCCTTTAATATGGTATTTAACAGAGCCTTGGACTATGGCTCTTTTATAATAGTAGCTACATTTCTGGAACCATAATACTGAAACCATGAATAATAATCCAGTAGTCACTGTAGTAGTACCGGTATTGCTTGGGTTTATGTGTCAGGAGTACTGTGTTTAAAAAGTCTGAGTTTAGAAATGTCACCTTTTAAAAATTAATCAAGGTAGCTTTGCCAGGGAATAACTTCAAGATGGCTTATTTATTGTTTTCTTACAGTGTTTTATGTTTTAATTTGATTTTTCATGGTTCTCACTGTTTAGATTACAGAGAGATATGGATGGCTGGAGCAAATGGAACTGGCATTGGTCAGTTCAAGATTCCTCACAGTGTAACAGTGGATCCTGTTGGACGGGTAAAGAATAAAGAGGGAATTTTTTCATCTTCCAACAGACTTGTTTACATGTATTCGAGCAAAACAAACTGTATTTCTTTTTTAATTGAGCTGTTGTGATCTGGTTCATTTTATGGTAATTGCAGTTTTCAGTGTGATGGTGGGCATGAGCTTAAGTTTCATACTGCAGGTCTTACTGAAGTGGCTGGCTCCAAGGTTAACACAGGGCTTGTGACCAGTGGTTATATTGTCAATGTCCACACAACCACAGGCTGTTCTTCCTGCAGTTTCTAACAGGTTGTTATTGTGAGAGTACAGGAGAATTATGTTCAGTAATAAATATCTACCCAAGAACTTACATTTTTTCAGGGAATTTAATTTCATATTTGGAAATTCTAAATAAGCTTGGGATGATAGTAAGGCTGTAGCTAGGTTGTGGACATCAGACCTTTTATACATGCAGCTCAAGCCATTCAAGAGTCTACTTTTGTCAGGTGTTAACCTTGGCCTGGCTTTTGCTCTGCTGCTCTTGTAGTCACTCCTTAATCTGTTTTGAAAAAAATTGATTGACTAAAACATCTTAAAATCATTGGTTTGAGCTAATTCTGCTGACGCTGTCTGAACCAGAATAAGAACCATATATAAAAATCACTTATCTGCCAAAACTGGCAGGGTGGGAGGGAGAAGGGGAGGCACAGGGTTGCTTTACATGAAAGGGTAACTCTGAGTATATATGTTCAAAGACAGCAATTGTGATGCTTTTTGATTTTATTGCCAGCATAGTGCTGATCTGCCCCTGTTAAAAATAGTTGTTAATCCCTAAGAAATCTAAGGGAATGCTTTAGTAATGTGTCTCTTTAAAATTGTGATGAAAGATCTCAGATGAACTTAGTTATTGCTCCCTTGTAATGAATTTTATTATCAGACTGATGGGCTGTCAACAGTTAAAACTTCAATGGTTGTAGTTCAAGAGGTGCTTTCACTGAACTGTCTAGTGGTATTGCTAGCTTGGGTTGTTTGTGAACTCAACATAGGATGGGACAGAAACAAGCTCTACAAAACTGGTAAGACAAAACATGCTGAAAATGCTCTTGGTATTTAAGTTGCTCAATATTTAGAGTAGTGTTAGGCATATCAAGAGTGTTTGCAGATGCAATCATCGTAAGCCTGAGTCATTGGCATGAGACTACTTTTGAAAAACAAATTGTTAGCAAGTGACAGATCAGTATTTTGAGAATTAAATAGTTAATATGTCCTCACTGTGGAATAGGAATCCTGCTAAACATATCCATATTACAGCCACAAAAATTAAGAGACGGCATTGCTTTCTCTGTTAAAGTAGTATGAAGTAATTTGTGTGTATTAACTATGTGGTGGTTTTGCTTTATAGCTGGAAGTCAGATTTACGTATGTTCCTCCCTATTTAAAACTACATTCTTTCAAGGTGTACTTCCTTTTTACTACAGGACACTTTGCTCATGTAAGAAATAATACATTTTGTTCTGTTTGTGAACAGCCATTATTTTTGTTTTTAACAGGTGTGGGTTGCAGACAGAGACAACAAAAGAATCCAAGTTTTTGACAAAGTCACAGGGGAATGGCTTGGGTCTTGGAGCAGCTGTTTTGCAGAAGATGGACCTTATTCTGTCAGGTATTGTTGAACAGTTCTTTTGGACATATGCAATTACATAAACAAGCTGTATTCTTAATGAATTAGAATGTTAATATTTAATGCCAGATGCCAAGGAATAACCAGTTTAACTAATAGAGTACTGGGCCATAAGGTACCGCACAGCAGTATCTTGACAGGGGAATCCATGGAGCCATGGATTTGAGTGCAGGACTGGGAACTTCATTTTAAAGTTGTAGTGTGTTGTTGAGCTTACTGTTGCAGCTTTTACAGGAAGAGGGATTGTCTTAAATAGGCTTATTGTAGTATAATGTGTCTCAAGGAACACCAATGTAAAGAAGCAAGGCTTACAAGTTAGTTCTCAATGTTTCAGTGCATTTAGACTCTTGTAGCCTTCAAAAAGTTGGCTGTTCAGGAGGTTTTGTTTGTTTAAAATTGCATGGCTGTGTTAACATGAGATGTCATGCGGAGTTTATAGTTCAAAATACATTTCTGTCTTTCACAGATTTACTGCCGATTACAAATACCTAATTGTTGCTCAGCTGAATATCAACCGGTTAGCAATCTTGGCAGCACCGGTGGTTGGCTCTATTGGGGACTGTGTTATGATCCAAACAATCCAGCTGGCAGATGAAACCAAACCACACCTTGTGGATGTAGACATGAGCAGTGGAGCAGTCTATGTTGCAGAGATTGGAGCCCAGCAAGTACAAAGATATATACCCTTAAGCTGATGGTTTCCCACAACTGCTGTGGCATAAGCTGTGTGATACATAAGACCTATAACCACATTTCCTTGAGTTTTCTATAGCTTGTGTTTCCTCAGACAAGCACAGAATACTGTACTCTGGAACACCAGAGATGAGAATCTGTCCTACCTGTCTACCTGTTCTTCAGTCCTGGAGAAATACTTGGTCTTGAGCTGTTACTCATTTTAGCAATGCTGTGGTGGCTTTTGCTTTTGTAGCTGCCAATTGTAGGATGACTTTGATAAGCATCTTTATTTTATTATATAAAACTTTACAAACACAGCTGCTGTTCTTAAATGTATAGGGTCATCCTAGGGCTCCTCTACATAGCCTGCTTGTGTTTGTTGTTAAATGAAGGTCAGAACTATCTGAAAGAAGTGTATAAATGTTTTCCTGGGAGGAGGTAAGCACCTCAGTTTAATATTTCTTCACTTTTTTTTTTTGTTTCGTTTGTTTGTTTTAAATCATTGTGCTGATACTGGCCAACACTGAGTATAGGGATGCATTATCACAGTATCACAGTATGTTAGAGATTGGAAGGGACCTCAAAAGATCATCTAGTCCAGTCCCCCTGCCGGAGCAGGAACACCTAGATAAGGTTACACAGGAATGTGTCCAGGCGGGTTTTGAATGTCTCCAGAGAGGGAGACTCCACAACCTCCCTGGGCAGCCTGTTCCAGTGTTCTGTCACCCTCACTGAGAAGAAGTTTCTTCTCAAGTTTAAGTGGAACCTCTTGTGTTCCAGTTTGTACCCATTGCCCCTTGTCCTATCATTGTTTGCCACTGAGAAGAGCCTGGCTCCATCCTCGTGACACTCCCCCTTTATATATTTATATACACTAATAAGGTCACCCCTCAGTCTCCTCTTCTCCAAACTGTAGAGACCCAGCTCCCTCAGTCTTTCCTCATAAGGGAGATGCTCCACTCCCTTAATCATCTTAGTTGCCCTGCGCTGGACTTTCTCCAGCAGGTCCCTGTCCTTCTTAAACTGAGGGGCCCAGAACTGGACACAGTATTCCAGAGGAGGTCTCACCAGGGCAGAGTAGAGGGGAAGGAGGACCTCTCTCGACCTACTAACCACCCCCCTTCTAATACAACCCAGGATGCCATTAGCCTTCTTGGCCACAAGGGCACAGTGTCGGCTCATGGTCACCCTGTCGTCCACCAGGACCCCCAGGTCCCTCTCCCCTACACTGCTCTCTAACAGGTCGTTCCCCAGCCTATACTGGAACCTGGGGTTGTTCCTGCCCAGATGCAGGACTCTACACTTTCCCTTGTTATATTTCATCAAGTTATTCCCCGCCCAGCTCTCCAGCCTGTCCAGGTCCCTCTGGATGGCAGCACAGCCTTCTGGCGTGTCGGCCACCCCTCCCAGCTTAGTGTCATCAGCAAACTTGCTGATAGTACACTCAATTCCCTCATCTAAATCGTTGATGAATATATTAAATAATACTGGTCCCAGTACCGACCCTTGAGGCACTCCACTAGATACAGGCCTCCAACTAGACTCCGCCCCATAGACTACAACTCTCTGGCTTCTCTCCTTCAGCCAGTTCACAGTCCACCTCACTACCCGATCATCCAGACCACACTTCCTCAATTTAGCTGCGAGGATGCTGTGGGAGACCGTGTCAAACGCTTTGCTGAAGTCAAGGTAGACCACGTCCACCGCTCTGCCATCATCCATCCACCGTGTTATTTCCTCATAAAAGGCTATGAGATTGGTCAAGCATGACTTCCCCTTGGTGAAGCCATGTTGACTGCCCCCAATAACCCTCTTATCCTTGATATGCCTTAAGATGGCACCAAGGATAAGGTGTTCCATCACTTTCCCAGGAATGGAGGTGAGGCTGACTGGTCTATAGGTACCCGGGTCCTCCTTCTTGCCCTTTTTGATTATGATGTTGAATAAGATGCTGTGGGATACTGGTGTCAGTGCTGATACTGGCATCTGCCTTAAGTGCTTAATAGCATAAACTTTGAAATCTAACCTTTCACCTCTAGCTAAAGTGGTAAAGTCTGTAATAAGCTTAAGTTAAAGTGATACGAGGCGCTTCAAACTAAATTAAAACTATGTGCACAGCAGCCAAGTACTGGTTCTTAACTAAATCAATTCTTAACCTGGTTTGATTTATATCGGTATGAGTTTTCTGTTCTGTGAGATTTCATAGTGGAACATGCTGAAGTTCAACTCATTTTAATTCCTCAAGATAAATAAATTGCAATTTACTGGGAGAACTTTAATCAGCATTAGGATGCCACGTGATATAACCCCCAGTTTCATGGAAGCTCTGTCAGTTAAGAGTGGCACATCTGTTTTGATTTGGGGATTTTCAACTGATTTATATCCAGAACTTTATCAACCCCATTAATGTCTGCAGTTAAGTTTTTTACACTATATCCTAGCAGATGTCTCTAAGCTCTGGCCAGAAAAGTGCTCTCTCTTTCCATTCCCGGTCCAGAGTGGTTCTGTTCTCTTTACATGTTGCTGCAAGGTTTTAAGTTGGTTCCCTTTATACCACGGAGGGAGCTGGGTATAGGAAAACGGGATGGGGAAAATAGCATGGCAGAAATGAGATGATGAATAACTGATTACCTCTGTAAAGCTATAGACCCACATTCCATGCTAGCTCTTCAAAGTATTTGGGAGAGTTTTTAGCTGTTTCCACATACATTTATTGCATGGTGTGGAATATTTTAATGCTAAAAGCCAACTAAGAGAAGATGATTCCTTTTCTACTTCCTTAGAAATGGAGTATGGAAAATGGAATGATTCTGATGGAAAATACTGACTTTCGTGAACATTATCAAAAGCAAGTGCTTCTTAATTTGGCACATTTCAACTTATGATCACAAATCTGTGGGTCAGCAGATGGAAAATCTGTCCAGAAAAGTCAGATTCATATTTTCTGTGGAAACTCAGCTGTGGAGCCTGATGGCCTGATTTCAGTACTCTTGGAGAGTAGTACACTAAGTGGGAATTCTTTGCATCCACAATACCAAAAGCAGATTTTATCTGGCTGCTTTCATCCAGGTCTGAGAACCAGAACTCCAGGGTTCTACACTAGCAAATTATGGTCCGTCATTCACATGGTCTTGAGTGGGAGCTAGTAAGCAATATTTATTAGCTGAAAAAGTGGCAGTACTTCCTCTAGACCTAGATGCATAAATCCACATTGCTTTGCAGTGTGTTGTGTGAATTTTCTAACTAGCTCAGGGATTTCTGCTTTGTGTGCAATGTAGTTATTTCTCACCTACACAAGGTGGATTTATTTTTGAAAATACTACTGTGATATCATTGACTGTATTTTAACATCGTCAGGTGGTGTAAGGGATCCAGGCACATCCATCCTTCCTCACCACATCCTCTCCTTATTTATTTTTTCCTTCATCACATCAATTAGAAACAGAACTCGAAGATCTCTGGGAGCATGCTTCTGTGTTCAGTAAAGGAGTAGTGTACTTTTGGATGTCGACGAATAAGTTACCCATACAAGTTTGTTTGCTGCATGGAACTGCTCCCCCAAAAAGTGTATTTTTACAAGGTCTTTTTCAGCCCCTAGAAAAGTTCCAGTTCTGTCTGTCTTTACTGAAGTGCCCAAGGCCAAAATGTGCCTTGCCTATATGCATTTGGGTATTTGTGATAAGAAGGGATGCTCATTATTAACTGGCATGAGATGCTTAGACTTCTTTTACCTCTGTGTCTATGACCAGAAAATGATTGATTTGTGAAGTAACTTGCTAATTCTGTAAAGGTTTTCTTATGTATCATCTTGAAACTGGTTTCTGAAATATTGCATAATAGGATAATTTGATAAAATAAATTAAAAATTTCCCATTATGAAAGGCTTGGGTGCTTTACTTCTGTACCAATAGCAACATTTTCCATTGCAATGGATTACTTTTTTTTAAATACTGAGTCATCAGCACTTTTAAGAAGGTATGTAATAGTTTCTGATACCAACATTCAAATGTAATCTAAAATTCTATGTTATCTTTATACATTACTCTTTTCTGTGGCCCATCTCTTCTGCTAACTTATGTATCAAAAAAGGCAGATAAATTTCATGCAGATGTTTTTCTCTGAGCAATTAATAAAATAGGATGATGAGTTAAATGATGCCAAGTATAAAGAAATACTTGAACTGTACACCCTTTTGACACTAACAGAGAAATTAAAAACACACTAACAAAACACTTCTTAATACAGAATAAGGTTTTATTTCCAGAAAAGATTTATTGAGCAGTCTGTTTAGTTTTTAGGAGATCAAAAGTGACTTCTCTATGAGTTAGAAATACTTGCACAAGAAGAAAAGTAACATAGTATAGTATACAGTGCACAGGTGTATCTGTAGGTCTGCTTGTTACTGTACATTCACTGCCCTAAAGTGGTTATTAACCTTTTTGAAGCATGAAGTAGTTATCTTAGTGGATACTTTCTTAATACGTAACCTGAGAAGCCTTCTCAAGCGATCTGTCCACAAGAAGTGTTTGCAGTCACTGAAGTTCCTTGTACGAAACATAAGAGGGCACCAAACCCCTGCCAATGCTTGGCATACTCGTGTAGCAATATACTAGCAAATGTAAACAGCTGGTAATTTCTGTACAGTTGGAGTAAGTCAACAAAGATAATGAATTATTCCAGACTTCCTTTCTGTTTTTAATCTGGAGTGATTTAAACATAAGCAGGTAATTGTATTATAGGCATTTTGCTTTATTACTACTGGATATATGCCCATCTATTATTTATTTCCATTGTTTTTACTAGAAAAAAAAAAAAATCAGTAAATCAGTGTCCAGAGACAACTGGGTGTGCTGAATTGATTCTTCTAGTCTTTGTGTTATTGATTCCAATGGAATTACTACTGATATCTTGCTTTGGAAACATAACAATATTTAATAGTATAACTGTATCAGCATAATTATACCAAGAGAACAATGCCAATGTATTTCCCTATAGAGGTGGTCCTGAGTGAGATTAGAGCTAATGGCCTCATTCACCAATTTTATCCTACCCCTCCTTTCTTGGCATTTGTTTAAAAATCTAGCTCCAATTTTGTATTATTAGTTTATTCTACTTTGGAATTGCCAAC